TTGATTATGCTAGTATGATTCTCCACATGCATGCAGGATGGAATAATACTTAAATCAATTTAGCATAATGATTCTTGGACTTAAACTGGATTCTATCACCTAACTTAGCTGTAAATTGATTTTTAAAAGTAAAATTATCATCTAGTGATAGTATATTAAAGAAAATCGTATTCCCAGAGTGACAGTGAACAGGAAATTAAGGGGCAGAACATTTAGTTAACTAGAACAAGACTTGATGAGAAGATATTCAAGTGACAAAATGCAAAAGCTAGAATAGAATTATACAAGGTAAAGATAGAGATTTATAAGGAGTCACCAAAGAAAGTCCTTTCTTATCTCAATATGGAGTATATTCAGAACAACAATGGCAGCATACAGCAATACTACTAGTACTTATACCCATGGGGCTAGGCCATAAACCAAAGAATTATCCATTGCCTTCATGATCATCAAAAGGATTTCCAGAGGGTAATATCACCATCAAAATTATCAAGATAAGAGAAAAAAAAGGATTCCTATGAGATTTGTGCAATATAATCACATGAAGATTATAACTAATAGCCCTAGCCTACTGGGTACTGTGGCACCTAAATCCCAGAAAACTATATGGGTGTTCCTTATTTAACCAGATTCTCCAGAACTTGCTCAGAGGGGAATAGGTGATGCAGGAGCATAAAGTGTTTTTTTTCAATTATTTGTTTTAGTTTGAGTTTTATTTGAAGTCTAAGTTTGAATTAGGATTCTTGGCTATTGTTAGTATATATAGTTATTCTTCTTAGATTTCAAAAGCAGTTTTTGTTATGAAATTTTAGTTTGAGAATAAACTTGAGGTTGAAAACCTAAGTTTTCTTGGTTCCATCTTTAATTTTACGGAGTTCTTAGTTTCTGTTTGTTCTGCCTCTACCTTCCCTGCATCAATAGGAAAAGATAAGGAGGGTTGACCCCACCTATCAAAGGACAAGACGATTATTGTATAAACACATTCAAGTTCAGTGTTGTAAAAAGCCCGCCTAGGTGCTGCCTAGGCTCTAGGTAGTGCTATTCTACTCGTAGAAATTCAATGCGGTTTACACCACCCAGATCAATTAAGTACATTCAGGCACCATTAGACATGCTTAATGGCACTTAAAGTGCTTGAGCAAATGCTTTTTATTAATTTTTTAACCTAATGAAATGATGTCATTTAATTTTTTATAAAAATTATACTAAAAAAATTAAATGCCGAGTAATTCCCTTAAATTTTGCTCTTTAGACATAATAATGAATAGAAAATTGTTTAATTTTTTTATTTATTTTATAATTTTTAAAATTGTCTTACATTTTTTTCTTATTCTCTTAGAATAATATCAAAAAATTATTATTAAAAAAAGAAAACTGCCTAGGCACTCTAGGCTCTAGGATGTGGGCAACCGCCCACCATCGCCTAGCGCTTTCTGCAACCTTGTTCAAGTTCAACATATACAGATAGCATCTCAAGTTAAGGGGTAAGTACTCGAAATATTGGTCCTCATTGTAGACATCACGCTACTCCCAATCTCAAGTTAAAGGGCATAACATAAAGCTGTTAAATCCAGTACCTTACAGATAGCATCAATTTCATCAAAAATTATGACATGCAAATCACTTTGGTCACCTGAAATGTCAAGGACATGATGGATCATTATACTATTGACAAACTAATCCACAAAAATATAATAAAAGAACTACCAATTTTAAAATCTTCATTACCACGAGTCCGTTGATCGTTCTCTGCATCAGCAAATAGATCCCTAACATTCTTTTCAGTTTCACCAACAAATTTGCTTAGAACTTCAGGGCCATTAATAATCTATATGATTCAAAAGAAAAAAAAAGAAAAAAGAAAGAAAAAAAAAAGAGGGAAACAAATTACAATGTGTTAATGCAATAACATATTCAATCACTACAGATGCCCATTATATTACAAACAATGTTTCATTCCAGATGTCCAAAGAGTAGAATAACAAAAAATATGTTCAAAGAGTCAAATAACAAAAACAGTAGAAAATGTAGCCTCTATCACCAAAAGTTAAATATGATTTCAGAAAGAAAACATAGGTTCTCAATCCTATAGAAAGCAAAAAAGAGAAATGATAACATATGTGGATTGTTTGCTTAAAGTATAGTGTAAATAAATACAGTATACTCCAGTCCAAACCTTTGGTTCCCTTCCGTTCAACATCTTTCCAATTTGACGGGCCATGAGAGTTTTGCCGGTACCAGGAGGTCCATAAAGTAGCATGCCTTTTACATGCTTAATCCCCAATCTGGAAATTCAAAGACTTTCTTGTTAGTGGATGATGCATAGCTACCAAAAATATAAATACGATAATTTGAGAGGTTAGCTGTATTACTTGCTTGTCACATGGGGAGGGAAAACCCGAGAAGCAAAAGCTCTTCGAAATATATCAGCAAACTCATTGCTTAAGCCTCCTATACCCAGT